CCCGTGTCATGGCGCAGTTCAAGCACTTTTTGCTCACGTTCATACCGAGTGATTGTAGCCGATTACCTGCGCGTCAGAGCGGTGAGCCGGTCGATCCTCAACGCCCGCTGTATGTTCAACGCATGGAAGATATGGCGTTGTCAGGTTCCACCGCATTGGACATAGACTGCGATCATCTTCGGCAAACCCGACCGGATCTGTGTACTCAATTGGTCACATTCCCAAAAGAAGTGATCCCTGCTTGTGACGCAGCTGTGAATGCGCTGTTCCTCGATCGATTCCGCGATGTGCAACTGGAGCGATCTATTCAGGTATTTTTCAACCATATTTGTACTTTAGACAAGACCCAGGAATTCCTTTATCCAGTGAAGTGCCGTTTTTTAGACAAGAACTGCTCATCTGCTGAGGGCACAGTCAGGGCACCAATGTAGAACAGTTACAACACTTTGCTAGGTCTACAGCTCATACTGTTGGATTTCAGGCTTATATTTCGACTTACTCAATGTGAACTAGTTGTAACAAATGAGTAATGTTAATGATAAAAGGCATCGCCTTCTTGCTTCATTGGAGACGTATCATAACCACATGACTCCATTATCCTTCTTGGAGTAGTTTTCTTTTTTATCAAGGGTGCCGTAGCTTTGAACGTCAGTCTTTCAATGTGGATTTTATAAATAGAATGTACACCACTTGAATGATCGTATGCACGATTATTTTCCCCTTACTTTCTCCATCGGTTCTCTTCATGCTTAAAAATGCGCCTAAATTTAACCCTCCACGACAGCAGCTAGTTATTCAACTGCTTTTGGTGTGTCGGGTTATCACCATCATCGAGCAGCTGTCGCGGTTTCATTATTTTTTCGTCCTTTTTGATTTTTCTTATTGGATAGATTCGCCCCTTCAATTGTGGTCGCTCACGCACTCTTCGTAGTTTGGATCCGGACGATCTAGATCAGTTGGTTACAGTAACCGGACTGGTCATTCGTCTCTCCTCTTTGATCCCGGAAATGATGCGTGCTGAATTCAAGTGTGCCGTGTGCGGGGCACTCACTTCGGTCCCATGCGAACGTGGCTGTGTAGCCGAACCGGAAGCGTGTGTTCGATGCCACTCGGCTCATACTGCTCAGCTGCTTCATAATCGATGCCTATTTGTCGATAGACAGATGATCAAATTGCAGGTGAATAAGCGATTAGTATGCTTTCTGTCCACCACTAATTTTTGGTCGATATTTTCATGATCAGTGTCAGGAACAGCTGGTCTTTCATACATTGCTCGTGCCATTGTTTAGCGCTCTAGTCTCTTCTCTTTTTGGGCTCATGTATTTTACGTCCGTATGTATTGTCCGAGGAGGAAGAGAACAAGTCGCGCTTCCTCAGCCGAAGTCATACAAACCCTGGATGACTGAGTCTCCAGTTACGTACTAAGCTTTATTCCATCATTTTTATTTGGAGTTTGGGGAAAGATCACCGAAACTCGACACTTTTTGAGCTCCCCGGTCTTGGATTTCGTTGTAGATTTCCACCCCAGTAGATTATGGGACTTGCTCGGGAATAGCTGTGGGGGTGATACCGAAGGCTATCTAACTTGTTCTTCAAAGTACTCCACCCAACGTGCAAGACGTCGCGGTTGATTTTGAATAGGTGAGCTGACCGATTCACATATCATTTCACTCATCTATGAAGCTTCCTCACAGGTGACCTGGATAAGTTCAAGTAGCTTACGCCACATAGCGGCAGCACGTCCCATCTCTGATGCAACTTGGGTCCATGAGATTTTGCGGTCTCTGAGTTCACTTGTAGTTGAACCAGATGAGCCGATAACCCTTCGTTTTATTCGCCTTTTCCGGAAAATACCGTCCTGTAGATGGGACTGAACTTGGGAGGAATGACCGTCTCTTAAGTGACGGTTCATGTACTGTCCCACGAAGTCGCGCTTTCGAACGTGCAGTTCCAACGGTGCAATTCTCGACTTCCCAAAACCCGAAGCCACCAAGATCAGTGCTACGGTTATATTTAAGTGCATACAATTTCTTCATCCTTCAGGGAAAAACGGGCTCATTATTTGTACACATAACTTGGCTTTGAGAGTTCTGGAAAATGTACGCAATAATGGATATAAGAGCGTTCCAGGGAAGAGTTGGCCGATGAAATGGAGCAAATCGTGGACTCAAATAACTGTTCGTACATTCCACAAAGTTTCTGGGATTTCCGGGGGTTTCTTTTTGGTTACCTTCAATTTCTCATAGAAATAAACTTTCAGGAAGATTTTTATTTTGCTGACAGGTCACTCACCACGTAATAGCACGACCCATACATGTTTGTTATCTTTTGCGAAGAACCTCTGCCAAAAGGTGAACCCACCACACCCTTGAGCACCACCCCTGACTGTCTCCATCCGTTTACTCAGGAATCCCAGACCCACCTTATTCGCCATAAACAGCAAATTGACGGCCGTTCTAGCCTTGAATCAGGTGCTCCTTAGCATGCAATTATGCTCTGTCGGTGGAGTCAGTGTATATAGCGAGGTTATTCACCGTAGTTAATCTCTCAGAATGGTACATCATGTACAGTCACAATCAGTTCAATGATTTGCTTCAATTCCTGCCATATATATTTGACCATCTTAAGCCTTTTGTTCACACAGCGAACAGCGAACTGTCGTTTATAATTCCGTCCCCTACAGGAATCTCCGGAGAACATGCCTGCCAGTCAAACTCCGCATACGGTTGTGTTATACGTGCACGAGGAGTTAGTAGACAAAATGAAACCTGGAGATCGCGTAGTCATCACTGGAATCTATCGTGGTATTCCTTTGCGTGTTTCCAATCGTCAACGGACACTCAAGGCGGTCTACAAAACCTACATTGATGTTCTTCATTTCAGGCAAGTTTTTCCCGCACAACACTCGTTTTTATGTAGTAACACCTGTATCGATTTACGGGACTGTGCTCAATTAGATGTGGTTGAGTACACCTCCGTCACACTAAACGGAGTAGTAATGAATTTCAGCGGGACAAGAAACAACAGCAAGTAGAACAAGCCACTATGGTTCACTTCATTGAGACTAGCTAATAGAAGATCAAAAGACATCATGAAGATTGTGGTAGTTTAATACAAGAGAAATTCTAATTATAAACAATGGTGGAACAAAATGGGTCACAATCACTTGGATTTATGGGTTGTTTTCGAATCCTACCGCTACCCTCACTTAACTGTCCCACTTTCATATGCCCACAGGTAGTACCCTTCTCGAAAACTGTCGATACTGTTGTTTATTCATTGACAGATTGGTTACGTACTGAGAAATTCATATTCGAAGTGGCAATCGGCACCTATCGTCATCATTATCCTCATTGCACAGCGTAATACAGTGAAGCGAACCTCACTGATTGCGGCCAAACTCATTGCATACAAGGCAAGTGAGAATGTGTAGTATAAGGATTGGACTTACTTTTAGAGACGGGAAAAGAAAGCAAACCTCTATGGTCAACACACAAATACACAGTCCAACTGTGCATACACACGTTTTAAAACATTCTGGTTTGATAAGAAGCGACAGCAAGATCGCCACTGCTGTCGACTCGTTGTCATGACCTCCGGTGTCTCCAACCCTCCAGTTACGGTGTCTTTTGGATCCCAACCCGGGAGACAAGGGACACCTACTCTACCTTATTGCTGTGTGCATTTCTTCATGTAGCACCCAGCGTATCAGTGTTCCACACTGTATTAATAGACATCATACAAATATTTTTTGAGAACATTTGGGAAACAATGCTTCTCTGTGCTGACTCGCTTTCATAAACCCTGTTTTCCTTGTAGCTTCCAAGATGAAGGGTTGCGTGGTGATGCTGCCTCGCACGTAGATCGCAGTTCAACCGATCGCGATGCTTACAAAAAATTCACAGACGATCGTGTTCAAGAGTTTCAAGCCCTGGCTCGGAAACCGGATCTGTACGAGCGTTTGTCCGCGGCGATCGCACCGACTATCTATGAAAATGAAGACGTAAAGAAGGGAATCTTGTTGCAGGTTTGTTAGTGTGCACGGTGTTCCTTTTCTTGCCCTTGTATAGACGTTGTTTTCAGATCCTTAATCGCGCTGGTTTAAGCGTCATGCTTACAATTTTTGCAGTGAGTCGCGTTGTAGACATCGCAAATGTGTTAGAAGATCTGTACACCTATTTCTATCTTGTTCCTTCACGACAGCTAGGTGAGTTCATCGACCCAACTGAGGATCGAGCTCGGGACCTCAAATAGTAGTATGCTTACGCTCTGCCAGCTGAAGCAAGAGGTTTAACTCGACAAGGTCCAACCAGCAGCACAGTGCTTATCAGCTATTTAATTCACGTTTCCTTCGGACGTCGCGCGTTTTGATTCACGTGTTCCTATGAAATCCTCTACTACAACAACAGCAACTGAGACTAGTACTGCTTTCCATCCGATGTCATGGAACCCTGTTTTCATTATAATGTTTTGATTTGTGCCCACCAGTAAATTCAGTTCTCATCTTCACTGTTCAGACACAGGATTTCCTCTGGCTTTGTTTTGATTTTGCATACTAATGTCTGTTGGCATTGAAATTTGTTTATTCATTCTGAACTGTACTGGTAAAATATTTCTGAAACGGCGGTTGTGATTTCGGGGAACACTCATCTCAAATGGGTACACCCATCGTCTACAGAAAAGTGTTTTTGTCAGAAGTGCAACGGTAAGGCGATCTGAATAAACTGCCCGAATTACGGAATGCGCATTGCGTCCTCAACACCTTTCTGAAAATCCACGTTCTCGGGCATTGCCATTGATTGACGGTAACCACTTAGACAGTAAACCTGAGTGTGTTTTATTCACGTATCATCATCCTAGTGCCCTGTAAGACATTTAGTTGATCTCACCGAAATCGGTGGTTTTCCATCTCATTCTAGCTGTTCGGTGGTACTCGAAAGGATTTCTCCGCAAAAGGTCGTGGTGATTTCCGGTCAGAAATCAATGTGTTGTTGTGTGGTGACCCAGGTACTTCCAAGTCACAGTTACTGCAGTACGTCTATCGCCTGACTCCTCGCGGACAATACACTTCGGGGAAGGGCAGTTCTGCGGTCGGTTTGACAGCGTTCGTGACCAAAGATCCAGAAACACGCCAACTCACCCTTCAAACCGGTGCTCTAGGTAAATGTCATCATCGCCAGAGAGAGGAAAGGGTTTGTCCACATGCAATGGTTTTCATCAATCTTTTGGATGTCTTATTACAGTCAACTGGAAAACACTGTTTTGCAGAATCCATTACTAGCCTTACATAGACTGGAATATATGGAAATTTTTTATCATGGTATATCATTTCGTCCGCATTCTCGGCGATGGCAACGATTGATGAGCGATTCAAGTTGTTCATTTTGGCGTATTCAAGGTATCCAAGGTTTTCTTCACTGTTGGACAGCTTTATTTCGTCTGTCATCAGATTGTCATCAATTCCAATAATCATATTTAGTGATTCTTTCCATGATTTAATGTAATAAAAATGTTCATTGTGGTTGATAGACGATTATATGCAAGCAGATGACGGATATCGTGGGTGCGGGCGAATCATGGAACTCACGCTGGTTTGAACATGCCCTCTATAACCTCCGTATTCACACTCAAAGAAATTTGTGGTATTTCACTTTAAAATCCTCTTTCCTCTTTATGGTTGTTATCTCCTCACTCTTATTTACTAGTGCAGACCTATTATGAATGTAATACCGTGAAGTACAGATAAACCAATCGGTATTATCAGTTTAGTAGGTGTCCTAACGCGAAGTGGAGTTGGTTATCGTCCGCACGGTATATGATTGAGTTGTTGCATAAGTTCCCGCCACTTTTTAAACATTTATTTTCAAAAAATCAAAGAATTTGAACAAGCAACCATTGATTAGATGCAGTTGGGCTTAATAGAGATTCTTCTCCACCGTCATGTTCTTTCTAAACATTCCTCAATGGATTAAACCTTCCTAATGCCACCATATGCAAATCGTCTTCATCGAGTGCAGGTCTTTCTTGATCCTACGCTTAGGCTTCTCCCCAGGACTCACCCACTCTTTCATTTACTTCATTTCCACATAGAGACACCGTTTCTCGTCTCCAGTGACGATTCTCTATAACGTTTCCTGTGACCATGGGTTCTTTGGTGTCGAGCGAAATTTTGAGCAGCAGTGAAAAGCCGCTTATCCTTCTGCTTTTGGGTGAGTTCGTGCGGGACCCAAGCTTTCGAGTGAAACCCATCGACTGAAGGTGGCGTGAAATTGTCGCTCAATTCTCTGCATGTCTGTCGGCCATTTTCCTTCAAAAGATCCCTGAGTCGATCCTCGTCCATTTCGACTGGTCTTCCGGAACGAGGAGCGTCGTTGCCGTCGAAATTATCGTGTCTGAACTTGGCAAACCAATCCCGAGCAGTTCTCTCACCTATAGCGTCCTCTCCATACACGGCACAAATATCTCTGATAGCTTCATTCGCTTTTTACCTCCATTAAAGGCGAAAAGAAGGTGTCGAAAGTGTGATTTTTTGTCGGTTTGACAATAGATTTGACGGTGCTAAAACAAGACAACAAATAAT